CTGTAGTTCCCTGGGTCTTCCTTCTGGCCCTGGAAGGAAGTTGATGCTGGATTATTTGGACCTATGAAAAATGTGAACATTTACCTCATCTCAATATAGATATAGAAACTTTTGCAGTCTGTATAGTTTAATCTTTTTTGTCAAACCCATTCTACCATACTGTTCTTGAAGCTTTTACAACAGTTAGCAGTTTTGCTGATCTAATAGTGGTGGAATGATTGTATAGAGGTCTTTAATCGCTTAATAACAAATAAAATCGGGAACAACTTGAGCATTAATAAAGGCCAGGCCAATAAGACTTCTTACCACCAAGTTTAGGTATCTTGGCATCCTGTGCTAATCTAATTCGCTATTTTGTGCTACAAATACAAGTTTAGCACTCTTCCTGCTTTTGTGAAATGTGCATTTAAGTTAGTAGCACACGACCTCCAAGATGAAAAATGTGTCTTGCCTTGCAGCTCTTTAGAGAGCATAATGATTGCTGCAGTTCTGTAGTAAAAGTTGATACCTCTCAATTTGAGCAACACTGTTTTAATAAGAAAGTGGGGAGATTTTAGTTATGTTGGTACTCTATCAGATTGGAGCCATAGAGCTTTAACACTTTTTTTTTCCTTTGGGACAAGTGATATATCACAAAGAGGAACTTTGAATAATATTTTAGGGCTGATAAGAAAAACTCCTAACTGAAGTGTTTCGTTTTAATTATTGGTGGCTAACAAAACTGCAGAAAACCGAAAGCCTATGACCATCATGTTAAGGGAGGTCAAAAGAAGAACAGAATCTTCAGTTGCACATTTAATAGCAAAAACTTGCAGCAATGAAGGAGAGAAAGGAGGGAAGGCAGGATTCTGATTAGCTCTTGAGTAGAAATTCTTAAAGGCCGTATGGTCTGCGACTGCTTTAATCTATTGGCTTCCACCACAATGGCTGGCATGCTTTTTTGTTTGTGTGCCTGTGTGGATAGATTTAGAGCAGGATATGTGGGTATATTTATGGATTATTTTTTGAGAGAGAAAGCATAGAAATTGTTTCTTTACTGGAATAGCTGGTTTTTATTTTTATTTTGAACTGTTTCCCTTCTCTTTTCAATAGGTCTTGGAGATCTTAGGGAAAAAGTTTCCCATTACAGAGAACTCAAAAGGCTACAAGTTGCTGCCACCGTATCTCAGAGTTATTCAAGGGGATGGTGTGGATATCAACACATTGCAAGAGGTAGGAGTGTCAGGGTGACACTGATATTTAATCTGGACTCTTATGACAAATCAGATGTTGTAGCAGAGACTGCTGACCCCACCCTGCCCTTCATTCCAGACACTGGCAGTGATATCCTAATACATAAAACAAATTCATTAAAGCTCCACAGGGAATTATTAAGATGCATAAAAAAACCTAAAAGGCATTTCCTAATCCCCCTGTTGTAACTCTTCTCCTCCCACTGTCTCTCCTTTCATTTGCTTTCATTCTGCTTGTCAAGTCTCATTCAGATCAAAATCTGGCTGTGTTTGGTCCTTTCATTGATATCTAAGGCAGACTGCATGACTGCTGTGCTATAGCAATAGCAGTAATTAACTGGCTTGGCTCAGTTGTTATGTACCGTCAGAAGTGTGCCTGCACTCAAATATCGAAGGTGCAGTTTTGAAGGAGACTTTAAAAACAAGTTCTTTGATTTGGCAACTAGTGTAATAAGGATTGTTAAAAGTCCAGAAAATATGTATCACAGATTAGTCTGTAATCTTGAATCAAATCTGCAATGTCATCAGATTAAAAATTGTTTATTTAGTAGATGCTGTATGCTTGAAATTAGTTAAAAATTTGCCATGATTGGCTAGATGGAGATACCAGGTAATATAATGTGATTACAAAGGTACAGGCTACAGTAGCTATAGATTACAAGGAACGTGTAAAAGGAAGGACTTGACTTTATCAGGTTTATTGTGGATCATTCATCTTCAGCTGTATTAGAATTCAAAACCAGCAATAATTTGGGTAAACTTAAGATTAATTTGTCTTTATTTTATTGACACTTGTCATAGCTTTCTGGATTGATACATCCTTAGATTCTTCTTAACAGAGTTGACTTTTGATGTTTCTCAAAATTAGGAGTGAGACATCAAAGCTTGTTTTAGAATCTGGAACTACCTGTATATTCATATATTCAGCATGGGCACATAATGTGAACCTCCACCACAGAATTCAAAATTTGTCACTCATCCTTAGGCAGTTAATATTGAGACTGTTACCCGGTATGCCAAGTGTAGTGTTGTCATGCACTACAGTTTTGTTCCTCCTCCAAAAGCCTTTAAAGCAAATTTTTTTTTCTTTTTTTTGGTCCCATGTGGCTTTTTGAAAATATACAGCTATGCTAATGTGCTTAATAGAACACAAGCATGAGAAGTTAATAGCTGGAAAGAAAGTCTTCTTATTAGTTACTAGGGGAAGAGACTTTTTTTGTAAACTTCTGCTTGTTCTTAACAACTGTTTAAAAGGTCTCATGCCTGTGTTGAGATTTTCATGAATAATGACAGGAAAGAAACTGGACTACTAATTCTTTCTTGTAAGGAACTCAAAGGTTGCTTTTCTATAAGTTATACCGGACAAAATTCAAGGATGCTTACATAGCACTGATTGCAATAAAAATATTAAAACTAGTATTTAAAGTATTTACATTAGAGGAAAAAAAAATGCATTGCTCTCCAAGTTTGAAGTAGAGCAGGAAAATAATTCCAGCAGCTAATGGGAGGGGATAAGAGGCAGAAGGAGTAATTCTTTGTTTAGATAATGTGTCTCTTTACGTATCTTCCTCACCAAACTGTAACGGATTATGAGGAAATGTTTACCTGTAACATGCAGTAGAAAGGAGTTGAAGCTCCAGTTCCACCATCCGTACAGAACAGAGATAACTCCCTGCTGCCTCCTCATCTCTTCCTGACTCTGTAATCCTGCTGCGCAGCTCATGTCAGCTTTGGTCATTGAACCACTAGTCATTAAGATAATTTATCCCATGCATGTAGCAGCAAACTAACTCAGCCAAAAGTGACAATTTTTTTTGTTTAGTGAATTAAATTTGCCCCCAAAAGGGGCTAGTACTCACCAGCATGATACAGGAGAGAAAATAAATTGTTGTTTTGTGCTGGGAGAAGCAGGAAGGAAGGAAGGAAAGAGACACATGTCATTTGACAGCAGCAAGCTATGTTGGAGCAAAAAAAACCTGTGAACTTGCAGCCTATTTTCACTCATGTCTGAATGTCATGGATTTCTTAATCCTTTTACGTCAGCAAAACCAAAGTTACCATGCTTACGACTTTTGGAAGGATGGGTAATAGCTTGCCATTTTAAAAAAAAAAAAGGAGGGGAAAAAAAAAAAGAAAAAATCCCCATCCCCAAACCAACCCAACCTTTTCAAAAAGGATCTTACATGAACAAATACGAATGTATTGTTGTGGCCGTCTCCCCCCCCCCTACAGTCTATGCAAGTGAATTACTCTAATTGCTTTATATCAGTCTTAGATTCTAGGCATGATTTATTGTTACGGATCAGATGAAAGGTAATGGGTACAATAGGAAAATCTAGAATGAGTAATGACAGATCAGTCTCATTTAACTATCCGAACTAGCTGAAACAACAATATAGAAAACAACTCAGAGTATAAACTGGATTTTAAAATTCTTTGTTTTAATAGGGGATGCTGGTAGAACAGGTAAGGAACTTTTTCTGACTTTCTTCTAGCATTTTCACTTCTAAAAATCATTCCAATCTGCTAACTCCACAATATACTACACTTTCAAAGGATTTTCTTTGAACATTCAATTTCCAGATGCCTTTAAATTTATACAAAGAAAATCCTCTAATCTGGAGTCACAGTTGATACATTAATCGTGCTTATAATGGTCAGAGAAAGCTGCCAAAACCTTGACGCCTGAACTGTTCTCCCTGTATAGGTCTGAAAGTCTAAGATAAGAAATTCTTCTGTATTGTTTTATTTTGGGGGAGGCTTCACTTGTTTCAGATCTCCCCTTCCCCCCCCCCATTACTGCTGTCTGTTTGCCCTCTATTTCCTATAATGAAGGAAGCTGCTATCCAGGCCTCTGCTGCTGCTGGTCACTGGTATTCAGAGCTGTCTTTCAAATTAGTCTTGATATTCCTTTCCTTCCTACCCCTCATCAGCCAAAGATTGGTCTGAGTAAGGAAATCTTTTGGTAGAGAGTGGGAAGGTGGAAGCCAGTTCTTCACCCAGGGTAAGTGAGGAGGTGTGCTTGTGGCAGAAGATGAACAAACCATCTGTAAATGAGAGCAGGAACAGTAGCTGAAAGGGGGTTCACATTTCTTCTCACCCAGGCAAGAAGGTTAAGTGGCCATGGCCCAACTATGCTATACTAGCATCTGTTAACCTACAAGTATCAGCAAACATGAAGTCTGAGCATCATGTGCCTTGGTAGGATGTTGTTTGTACTGGCTTGTTTGTGCTGCATATTCAAGGAAGTTTAATGTCAGACCTGATCTATAAGACTCAGTGTGAAAAGGATTAGAATACATTGGCTTGGGCTTGGCCAGCAGTTCACATGGCTGCAGGCTTTGTCAGCATCTGGACAGAACTTGATCAGAGTCCAGGTGGACATTACCTACATTTGCCTTTTCAAAAGACAGTGTAGATAAGCAGAGTCTATATGCAAGCCCAGGAAAGTCTGGTTTCTTAAGGTACTATTGGGCCTTATGCTTAAGAAGAAAGTATACGAAATCCCTTTTCTTACCCTTCTTTTGTAATCTTCAGTTAATTCTGAGATGCTTAAGTGAGATTTTCATTCTTTTCAATCCTTTATCCTCCCTGGGTAACCCTTTTAACTGCTTCCAGGGGAACTAATCACCTGAAAATGCAGATTCCTTTTTGTGCACATTCACTATCTAAAAGGATGTGATGACTACTACTAAAACCCTCACATACTGAGGGGTTATTTGTTCAAAATGTAGTTTCTAAAGGGTTCCCTTGAGTGAAAGTCATGGTGGTAGGGTCTGAGATTTGCTTTTGCTTGGCTTCTTGGATGAGGCTGAGTAAGCTGGTACTATTAGAATGGTGGAAACTCACTGATGAAATCTCTACTGGGGAAATCTCTGCTAAAAACATAGTGGGAAGGTGTTCAGAGCATACCCTTAAAAGGTTGTGGTTCTACAGTCCGCCTCTCCTGTTGGCTGGCCTCTGGAGACTTTGAGAGGATCTGTGAAGAGACACTCTGCATGTGACTAAATGGATAAGCAAAGTACTATTAGGAACTTTTGCTTACTTTGGCTACCCCTTTGCCACTGTCTGAAGTTGGAATTGTCTCTTTTTCTTTTTTTCTTCTTACAAAACTTTAATTTTGCCATAGCTGTCCCTTTTGAAAAAAGTGATTTGACGTTAGTGGTTCCTATAGATGTCCTGTTCACTGGTCATCTGGCATTTCTGTTTGATGCAGGAGGCTGAGACTGCACAAACGATTACCAGATTTCTGATGATGTTGATTTCTGAAAGTATGCATTGTTCCCCATAAATTATGTCCTTCTGTTCTGCTTCTTATCTTCCTTTTTTCTGAATGGATGGGATTTGCTATTTCACCCACACTGAAGTTTTCTCAAACACTTTATTAGTGAAATGGTTAGGAGATAGGAGTTGAAATACTCTCTTATTTGGGCTATAGCTATTATTTCAGGCTGTCATAAGGGTAAAAGGTCAGAGAAAAAAATATTGACCATTTATGAGCATGACTGAACTAGCACCATTACTCCAGGCTAGAGGATGTCATGTTTGGATAGAATGAGGGCTGGGGGGAAATGACACTGTACGTTTTAACTTGACTGTTGGTAACAGTGCAGTTCCTCTTGATCTGCACCTGCCTGAGAGGGGAGCAAAGCAAACCTTTTGAGCAGTTTTGTATTTCCGTTCCCATCTTCGAAATTGCTAATCTAATTCTAGTCAATGTGATTTTCTGGAGAACTGCTCTGTTGAAGTCATTGGTCAAAATGGGTAATAACTTTCTGGAGCTGATGAGCAAGATGACCATTTTGTTTTCAGGATACATGCTATGCTTTGAGGTCTTCCCATAATTCTGACAAATTGGAAGGCTCTGAATTACTCCCATGAAGTCTTTTATTTTCTTTGGAGCCCTGATTGGCTGGGCATTGCATTACTGTGCTACCCTAGTTTGGGAAGTATACATGCTGGTGTGATAATAGTTTGACAGCAAAAGCTTTCTATAATTATGCCATGCTGGAATCACAACTAAAAATGCAAACAGCGTGCCAAGTATTGACAGAGTTGTTATATGCATCTCCTGGAAACTGAATGTTAGTTGGTTTAATTGTCTGTAAAAGCATCCTGTTTAAGTAGTATAATATTTTTATGGAAAAATAGCATAGCCTAAAAATATGCTCCATCATCATTTTCTTTCTCTTATTAGATTGTAGAGGGAATGAAGAAGAACAGATGGAGTATTGAGAATATTGCCTTTGGATCTGGTGGAGCTTTGTTGCAGAAACTAACGAGAGATCTCTTAAACTGTTCCTTCAAATGTAGTTACGTGGTTACCAACGGTCTCGGGGTATGTCTGTGTACTACTTCTACCTTATGTTTTCAATAGAGGCCAACTCATTTGGAAACCTGCTTGACATTGCCCGTTCCATTGCCGCCATCTGCATTAAGTACACAAGCCCCACAAAGCCCTTTCCTTAAAAAAAAAAAACCAAAACACTCTTTTCATTTGTAGGTAAATGTCTTCAAGGATCCAGTTGCGGATCCAAACAAGAGGTCAAAGAAAGGCAGGCTGTCATTGCATAGGACACCTGCTGGAGATTACGTGACGCTTGAGGAGGGCAAGGGAGATCTGGAAGAGTATGGACAGGTATGAATTTTCAGAATGTATTCCGTCATTCCTCATGCAAAAAATAGACTGAGAAAAGGCAGGTTATAACTTAATTTCAGAATTTATTTTTAATTGTCTTTTTGTTCACTCCCTCAACTTTTTGTTTAACACTGTTTGTTAAAACCTCAGAAGTGTCCCCAGTGCCAAATTCAGTAACGGTAAAATGTTAGAATGCCAGTTGAGTATTCAGGCTTTACAATTAGAGATCTTTATCTTTTGTCTTCAGAAACAAGAGAACATTGCTGCTTTTTCTCAAAACTAGTGTCTTAATGTTGCAGAATATATGCTAGCCAAGTAGTTTCGTATGGGCTATATTGCACAGTTTGAGTAGCGACCTGAGTTGGAGGTGGAAGAGGGACTCACATAACTGCAATTTGGTTCTACTCCCCCACTGAGATTTTTGGATAGTTCCCTCAGGTGTTAATGCTCTGTATGTGGACTAGTTGCACAGTTGTCAATTTCAGTAAAATAAGCATAAACTTTATTGCAATCTCAGGCATTCAGCTTGATCTCTCTTACATTTTCAGTGTGCAAGCAAGGAAATGTTTAACTGCGTGTCGAGTCTCTTCCTGAATTAAGAGAATTGAAAATAAGTTATCAAATTGCACTTCAGCCTTTAGAAGCTGGAAGTTTCTTGAGTTTTCTGGGATACAGAAACACATTTCTGTGCTACTAGGCAGATGGGTACTAATAGGCACTACGAAGTTTCATTAGGGAATTTTCTGTCATGTGAGAGGATTATTTGTGTGGTACAGGTTCTGGGGCTCCCTGGGAAATGCACTCCTGTGGGCCCATTTCTCTAAAGCCACAAGTCCTTGCAATAGGTCAGCAAGCACCGTGACTACTCAATGTTGCTTTAATGCTAACTTTTCTATACAAAGCTGTGCTCTTTCAGTGTGCTGTTCACAAGCACTTCTTGATACACTGTTCCACAAAATAGAGGAGCAAATGGGACTGCGATGACAGTTGGTTTTCATTTGTGTTTTTCATAGTTGCTCTAGAGGAAATAACGGCTTCATTTAAGCCTCAGTAATTGAATTGTATTTAACTGGTTGAGCATTTCCTTTCTTACTAACTGCTCTAGCAGGGTATATTTAGCATGAGTGTGTTTGGCTTTGGCCAGATGTGGACAGCTCACTTTAGGGACCACTCGGCACAAAGCTTCTGTCTGTGTCTGTTCTTTAGGATGGCTGAAATCCTTTCTTCTGCGTAACCATTAGTGAAAGGTGTCAGAAGAAGCTGTAAAGATTTAATGTCTTGGCAGTCTAAAGCTCCAGTCTTACTAGGCTTGCTATGGGTGCTCACTTTTATGCTTGCGTAACCTGTGCTGTTTTTTCATTTGCTGAAGCACTCTTGCTAAAACAGTGGTGTTTCTTGCAGGATCTCCTTCATACAGTATTTAAGAATGGAAAGGTAACGAAGTCATATTCATTTGATGAAGTGAGACAAAATGCCAGGCTGAAGAACAGTGAACTAGAAGTGGCGTCTCACTAAGTTTCATTCCATGTCTGTGTATGTGTGTGTAACAAGTTCGTACTGCATAGCTACTGGGTTTATTGTACAGATTTGTGTGTTTGTGTTTTACAACATTGTAGCCAAATTATTTGTTGGTTTATGGACATACTGCCCTATCTTTTGCCAGTCTTTAGAAAAGATGAGATCAGGAAATGGTACTTACATTGTAAAACGTATTTAATGCTAAAGTGTGCTTTTTAGGGCCCTTTGCCAGTAGTGATTCAATCTGGTATTGATCTTTTCACAAATGAGACAGAGCTGAGAAACTTTTTTATATATAACAGAATATCACAAAATGGATTTACATAAAATTATCATAATTGCTTTATGTTTATATTTAACTTGTATTTTTGTACAAACAAGATTGTGTAAAATATATTTAAAGTTTCAATAATTAAGTCTTTCCAACTTTTCATGATTTTTATGAGCACAGACTTTCAAGAAAATATTGGGGGGGGAAATCCATTGCCTTTTGTCCATTAATCAGCAAATAAAACATGGCCTTAAAGTTTGTTGTGACATTGTACCATTTGATGACTAAATTGGGACACGTATGTCCTTAAGATCCCATAGAATTGCTGACCTCACCGTTTCTTGTAGTTGTCTGTATTAGTAAATCTGCATTGAAGAAAATTGCTGTTCTTACTAGAAGGTTTAGGTACTACAGACCTTGCTGGCACGGTAAGGTATGTAAATGAAATGCCAAATTTGAAAGGATTCTCTACTGCAACTTAACTTGCCAAGTCTATCCCACTTGGCATATGCACCTCAATATTTTAAGAGTAAAGTTTTTACGAGATCTCCTCTTCCACTATAGAATATATGTGTAAAATACTGAAATATGGAAGCGGTGTATTTTAAAGTAATTACACTTCTGGGTTTATTTTTCATATACTGTAAGTGACATGACTTTAAAGCAAAATACTGGACTGGGTAGTGCACTTTTTTACTTTTTTGTATTTTTTTCATTGATTTGCCTTTTGTCAGACTGGATGTTAAATTGTAAAAATGTTTAACTATTTTTGTTAACAACTTTAATAAAACTTTATGCTAGCCAAACTCCTACATGAATGACAGACCTGTTTCCCCTCTCACCCCATCTCATTGGGGTGAGGAGGAGCTTTTATTTTGCAGAGGGTAACTGTAAAATATGTTTGAGAGATACTTTTGAACTGTCTGCACTCGACTGTATTTGCTCTCTGCATATGCTTGATTTGAATATCTGCTGGAAAACAAAACTCTTGAGGATTTTATTTGAGAAGCTATGTAGTAACCTTTGAAGTGTTCGATAGTACTGTAGGATGGCACTCTCACTAGAAAAGTACCTCTTTTACTTCAAAACAACAGCAAAAGCAAATGGCTCCTGTGTTATGCTGGTGATGAACTGTGAGCCAATGGCTTCATATACCGATGTAATTAATGCTTCTGATTAGCGAACGATGTTAGAGAAAAATGTTAGGGGATCCTCTAAAATAATTTAATCCTACAAAATTTTATAAAATGTGCTTTTAAAGGAAGATTGAAAAGCCATACTTCATTGTTCTTACTCTCTCGCCAAAAAGGGCCGCATCAGAACACCCATAATATTTCCAGGGTTTGTAGTTAGGACGTTTATGCCCAGTCTCAATAGTCCTTGTTAATAAAAACTTGTTTTCCACTTGTAGTGTATGTAATTATACATTTAAGTGATGTATTGTTTCAGAAATAGTGCTTTAGTAAGACTCTAAATGCTGACTTTTCACACTGAGGAACTGCCTTCCCTTTGCTATTAATGATATTGTTTGTATTTGGCCAGGAAAGATTTTAAATCTGGACCTAGGATCAGTAGCAGGTAAATAGTACAGAGCCTATTTCACTCCTTCACATGTGTACTAGGGAATTTTATCATGTATGGTTTAAAAAACAATAAAGTAAATGCTGCTTTCATTCTGTACCAATAAAAATTTTGATAACTATTGACTACCCATAACGGATATTTTTGTACTTGAGAACTGAGGATATACTGTGGAAGCACTGTCTTCTTGTGCACCATGAAACACATTAGTAGTTGTTCAGTATTGTCTCAAACTTTTAGCTTGTTAGTGGGAGACTTGGAGCAAATTGTTTACTTACGCATGCCACTTCCAAAAAGCTCCCATGTCACTCATTTTATTAAATGTTAATATCTTGAAGAGAAAAAAATAGAAAAACGCCTGGTGCTATTCAGACCTGAATATGTGTCTCTGTGTTTGGCAGTTTGACATTCTGGGCATCAAGGAATTGACAGAAATTACTGCAGTGCTTGAACCATACAATATCCTAATTCTTCCACACGAAAGCAAACAGCATGTGTAGATTTGTAGTCATTGATATATTTTAATTATCCCCAGTTCATAATATAATACCGTATTTGTATTTAAAAATAGGAATTGGGAGTTTTGTGTTAATACTCTGATTTGTAACCATATTTAGCATAAGAAATGGATTTTATAACACTATTTTTTTTCTTGAGCTGCATGATCATAAAAAGATGCTTTTTTGGTACTTTGAAAGATCTGAGGAGAGAACAGAAGAGTACTTAACTGTTTGGTTTGCCAAAAATCAAAACAAAGCTTAAACCAGTTTTTTCTTATAGGTTTTTACATTCCTTCTTAACCTGTTTGGTGAAGAATAAATATTCCTCACTTAAATCCTCTGTTAAAGTAATTTTAATGTACTTGGCATCAAATACCAGTATGTAATACACATGGAAATAAAGTTTAGTTCTGGCAGTGAAAATAATAGCCATTTGACTGTGTCTTAAAGTTGTGATGTTGGGCATCAGATTTAATTCCTGTGCCATTCCTTGTTGCCAAGCACAGGCTGGAGCGCAGCCGTGCTGGCGTTACAGTCCTCTGCAGGAGAGCTGCTCAGCTGCCTCGCACACTGTCTGGTTGAGGGACTGAATTTACCATCAGCTCCGTTCTAAAGGAGAGGGTGGTTTTTAGGGTGCGAGCGCATCTGTGCTTCAGCATCTTGCATGTTTGTGCTTAAAAATGAAGCACTTGTAATGGAATTTGATATAAGGAATTATCCTCTATTTGTATTCCACATAATCCTTTCTTAAATAAAGAGTCATTATTTAAATTTTACTTCTAAAGCTACTAAAAATGCTTGTTTAAAAAGAAATTAACCAAAGATGCTGCAGCCTTCAGTTCACTTCAGAATCTGTCAAAAAATAATGTCAGGTCTTCAGCAGACACAACCTCTTGTGTCCCCTTGGACAGGATTTTTGTAATTGGAAGAGGTTACGCTTTTAACTCCTATGTAACTTTAAATTGCAAAAGGTACCTTACGAACGCGGACGCTGCTAGTATGGGTGTATAAGGCAGCTAGTGTAGAGATTATTTACTATCATTTGTTGCTGGTCCCTTCAAGTCATGCTGTGATGTAAAAGCAGGCTCCTGTAGCCTACAATAATGGCCTTCTAGCACTTGAATTTAAAGTCTGTTACATTATCTTTACAAAGAACATGCACAGCCGAAGTGTAAACAGGCCTCTTCCTCCTTTGCGTGCTGGTAAAATCCCCAGCTACAGCAGTCCAGCTTTTCTCACTCTGGTCGGCCTTTGTGCAAGTTAAAAATGCTTCTTAACTGTGAGCGTATGGTGGGAGGCTCCCACAGCATCACGCAAAGGAGTGCAGGGAATTTCCAGGCCTCAGACTGCAGGAGAAGGCAAGGGACTGACAAACATGTCTCATCTGTGCTGAGCTGCTGAAGGCAGGAGCTATGAGGATGCATCTGAGCAATGGTAGTTGCATCCCTACCTGGTAATGTGTGAGCATTTCTGTCCATGAGAGCCCCATCGGGGTCCTGTAGGTGCACATCTCTGGAATTTGTAAACACTTGAGTGGAGGATGCTCCTCTTGTCTTAAGCCTGGTGGTTAGAAGCACCTTATGTAGAGAGCTGTATGCATTCTCAATAACCTGCTGACCAGAAATAAGGAAATGTTGAGGTTAAAAATGCTCTGTAAAGTCACACGTACTCAAATCACAGTGGTCTCTCATGGATGTTATGTTCATTTTTTTCCCCTGTTTTATTGGTAGCACAGCTGTCCTTGTTAATGATTTTAAAACATCCTTCACAGTTATCTAAAGATGTTTGGTTTTAATTCATGGTAAGGGATGAAAAGCACTTAGGAACAGAGCACTTCCAAAAAGTATTTTCCTGTGGCACAGTATTTTGCGGAAAGGTACCCTGAATTCTGCTGTAACATAATCCAGAGCAATTCAGGGGATATGGGAGTGAAGTCAGCAGGATTCTTCTCAAGTAACATATTTTGTTCCATATAATTTCCTTAGTAATCTTTATCTGAGTACTCCTAAGCGCTTTATTAATGGAATTTCCAGGATTTTCAATTTATGGTGAGGTTTCCTGGAATCAGAATTGCAGTCCTGTCTCCTGCTCCTGGCTGGAGCAGAGAGGTCTCTGAAGGATGGATAGGGAGCCGTCATGCCCCCAGCACTGTTTTTACTTCCCCCTTATACAGCTCTTCTGAGTAGAAGGGCAAGTTTGTTGTTTGTTTACCTTTGGGACAGAAAAAACAGAAAATTTGGGTCCTATAATTCATTTCTTCCAGCAATTAAGATTGTGTCTAAATCAATTCAAGCTATTTCTAGTTCACTAGATAGATTTGCACAAGCATGCTCTTATCAGTATGTGTAACTATTTACATTTTCTTATGCTTTTTTGTTTAATATTGGTCTATGAGATTTGAAGATCTGACTCTTGGTGGCTGTTTCTATGCTTGTGTCAGTTAACCATATTGTATGTAGCCAGGTAATTAGAAATTATTGAAAATGGCTTCAGAATTTTCTGTAATTACAGTATTTAAGAAATTCTAGGGAGTAGTTAATGCATAGCAGGATCTGATGGCTGGACTTCTTTGTCACTGACTTAGGTTATTAATGTAATTATTTAAAGCTTTCACATCAGCTCTTTTATATTAAACGAAACGAAATTTTTTTTATAATAGTATTCATATCACCAAAAGATTAATAAAAGTAATAGGCTCTCACATCATCTGAACTGTATGGGACTCTAAACCTTTTATCTTTTAAGGAAAAGTGAAGAACATCAGTCTCAAACTTCCTTCCTTTTCCCACAAAAGAGGGAAGAAGAAAGCTGTTTTCTCAGAGCATCTGGGATGCGGTTTCATCAGTTTTCTGACTGTAAAGAAAAAGGCTGGCATCTTCCCTTTCAAGGAAGTTTTCCCTGCTCCAAAAGATGCTACCCTATTTTAAGCATAAGGAAGCGGCTCGTTGTTGGATGTATCAGAAGGATGACATACCCCAGCAATTTAAGAGGATAATCTCTGGGCGAAATGGCTTTGGGTAGAGATATGCCTGTAAGTCACAGAAAGGTCAGAGCATGACAGCTAATCTCCCCTTGGTGACGGTGCCTCCCCGTGATTTCTGCCTCAGCTGAGCAGGTTCAGGTCTTTCCTGTAATCTGCTGTGAAAACACTGAGGCTGTTCAACCAAAACAGAGTGTGGCCGTGTCCCTGCGATAACAAAGCAGTGCGTTGTTAATGTGCACCAGTCTAACCTTAATTCATTTTTCAGGCCTTTAGCTACTTGTTAAGCCAAACGCCAGTGACAAACTTCATTAACACGACTGTTCTTCCCACACGCTGTGGGTTTGCAGCCTCACCTCCAGCGCCGTTGCTTGAAGACCATTATTGGCTTTTACTGCAACTATAAATCTCCAGAAGATCAGAAGGAAGATTTTGCCTCTGTGCAAGGTTTTGTAATCTTTACACCTTCAGACAAAAGCAAATAGATTCACACACTAAAACCAAAGGAGAAAGCTGTCCCTTTGCTACCTTTCACGTCCTGAGTTGTGACCATGGAAATGTTAAGCCATGTGAGAATCTAGCAAAACTAAGAATTTGTTCTCTTAAGAATTGGTTTCCCTCTAAAAGCCATATACTGAAACATACACTTACAATCTTTATAGTAATTAATAAAACATAGCTGAATACTCAAACACATTAGCTTGGTTGCTGCAGGGGCTTCGTGAGTCGCCAGTCTCGGCCAGTTTCCACATGGTTTACACAGAGTTAATTCCACCAGACGGGGAGGCTGCACTGGCAGCAATAGCAAGACCAAGTACTCAAGTATATAGAGACCACAGTGCTGGGCCTTGTGTCTGCTGGGAACGTCCAGTGCTACATTAAATAACCCAATCGGCTGCCATCCTGAACCCTGAAACAAAAAATGCGTTTTTGGTGAGTTTGGTGAGCCTAACTCAGCTCCAGCTCTGCTTGTAGCTGTGGAGACTATCGCCATGGCTGTTTTGCTGTAAGAAGGCATAGACGTGTTTAATCCCTGCTCTGTCTTTCACAGCCCGCACTGGATTGGGCAAGACCTGGGAAGAGTTTCAGTAGTTTCTTCTGTGTCACAATGAGGTCTTGCCCAAAGGACTTTTGAGATAAGAACCCATATGGTTATTGAATATGTGGTGTGCCAAAGTACCACTCTCACAAGCAACCATGTGTAATTCTCCTCCAGTGGGGTAAAACTGTGTTACAGTCTCTGTTCTTGGCTAATATTTTAATTCCCTGGGTTTCTGTTTGTTTGTATGTTTGTTTTTGGTGCTATTGAGATTTGTACTGACATTTTTATGAAGCTATTTTTTATAACCCCAGAATTTTGTATTTCAGTGGTAGTAGATGAATCATAACATCATTTTGTGCATGAGGTTAGGATTATTTTTTCCTATACACATCAGTTTATGTTTATGCTTAATTTCATCTCCCACTTTAATTTGCAGTCACTGTGTTTCATAAGGTCCTTTTGTAATTCTTCACAAACAGCTCCCATCTTTATTACCCCGAGTAACTCAGTACCTCCAGCAAGTTGTCACCTGTGTACTCACCCCTCTCTGGGTTGTTTAATGACATGTTGAGTGGCGTGAGTTCCAGCACAGATTGCTA